CTTTGGACACAACTGAAGGCTTTCATTGGCAACTTTACCCAGATTTCTCTTCCCTTTCCACAATGTAAACGTATCTTATTAGATCTGAGATTCTGTACAATGCAATACTTTAGACTTTTTCAATATTAAAGCAAGTATTTCATGTACATAACCATCCATTAGGCTTGCAAATAATGTCCTCAAAAACATTTCCTCAGTATAAGCTGCCATTCACAGCAGCCCTGCACATCTGAAAATTGCATGACGTCCATAAACAATCCCCTCCAAATTGTCCAAACAAGCTGATGCCTATGTCAATTCTTTATTTACAAAATTGGACAGTAAAAGTTAATTTGTAGTGACTGAATTGCACTGTTTTCTATCAAGTAAATCTGTGGTTTTATTTTAAGGGCAAAGTAAGGGTAAGAGGCAAATGTAAAGCCTGGTCATTTATTTGGTGAATAAAAACACAAAGTGACAATCAATAAAATTTTTATGTCCAGTAAAATATAATGTGATAATCTCCTTAAACTCTAACACATAACATCTTGATAGAATCATATGATACCCTTGTGTAACTTACAAGAGTAAATTAGTGTTTAAATATTTTAGTAGCAAGTAAAATGTAAGTAACGTAATATCAATTTCATTACTTATTTTAAAAATTAAAAGTCACTAACTTGCAGGTAATGAACAATTGAACATACATCAACACACACAGTCTGATAGTAATCCTGTTACTCTGACTTTTGTCATGCAGAAATATTTCATCAAAGGCAATTTAGGTCACAATCAAATTTGCTAAAACTCTTTTTGCTAGCTAATCTGAATTTGTAAATAGTAAATATCTGGTTCTGTAATTTAAACTTTAGAATATTGACTTAGTTTCTCAGTTTTAATATCGACATAGTTCATGTACTGAGTGTGGTGTCATGCTGTCATCAATCATGTGACTTTAGGTTCTGAATATCTGTGACACAATGAAGAGCATGCATCAACTTATCCAGAATTATCCACTCTTCCACCTTCTATATGACATGTTGTGCCTGTATCAGAAAAATGTACATAAGTTCTGCTTTCCTACCATAATCCAAATTTATTGTTTACAGTTGTGATGTTAATTTCACTCACTTTAATTGTGAAAAAAATTATCTTTGTAGGTGTGGAGAATAGGTTGGCTAATTGAATAGAAAACTGGCTTGATGGAACAAAGCAGCCAATCAGCAGTCAGAATGAGTGTTTTCTCACCTCACTTTCTCATGCTGAAAATGAACAACAAAATGCTTCATGATATAATATCTACCAGACTCATGAACATTCAAAGTGACCCTGTTAAATGTGCAAAACAAATAAAAATGGATGATTTAAAAAAAAAAATTTGGTGTCAATTTGTCTTACTTTACAAACAAAAGTATGATACTTTAGGTTTTATGAAATAGAGATGTGATGATTTGTTAAATAAATGTGATTGATGAATAAATTATTTTACATTATACAACCAAAACAATTTTAACTCATCATTATTGAGCTGTTAACCATCATAACCATTATTATACCAATTTGCTACAATATCTGACTACCTATACAGTATATAAACCATTATGCTCAAGCCTTGGCAATAGCAACTGGCACAGCTTGAACTCGGTTGTTCATTATCTGCTTATTGATCCTTTGAATAATGACTTTCTGTCAGATACAACTTTTTTATCATGGCAGATAGGTTGGTTGTATCTAAGAGGGACTACTATATTATTGATGAATCAAATGTATAGTAATGGACTAATGACCAATCCTTGAAAAATGCCTGTTTGTAACTTAAAAGAATCCAAAACTTCTTTGTTTCTTTTAACTTTTGCTGCTCTGTTAGATAGGAAACTAGCTATCCAGAGGACTTTAATAGGTGGCAGGTTGAGTTTTGATAATTTCAACAGTAAGGCATTGTGGCAGACAGAATCAAAGGCCTGTCTAAGGTGGAAAAATACTCCTACCGTTATATATTTACGATTGAAAGCTTGGAAAATTGATTTAGTTACTCTTACGAGGTGATCAGTTGTTTGACGTTTTCGTTGTGATGTAGTTTGTATATTTGATAATATGTTCTCTGATTCTAAGTGATATAGTAATCCAGAAACAATAATCTTTTCTAATAATTTTCCTTTATTATTCTGTAGGATGGTCTGTAATTACTAGGATCTTGGAGATCTTTAGAAGATTTCGGGATGACCCTAATGATTACTAATTTCCATAAAATAACCATAAAATTAAGAGATAGATTAAATAATGCGGTAAGGTATTTTAAAACGTTTTCAGGAAGGTTTTTAATAACTAAATTATATATGCCATCATCACCTGAGGCACTGTTATTTTTAAGGTGCTTAATGTTAATTTTAATTTCAGCTGAAGTGATGGGATGAATAGTGATGCAGTATGGGTCAAATGGGGGTTTTGTACATGTTTATGAAAAGTTTGGTGTGAACATATGTTTATTGTTAGAAATGAAATTATTGATTATATTAAAATGATCTTGATCAAATATAGGTAAGTTTTGTGTTGTGAAATAATATTCTAGGTGTTTTGCTAATAGACTACTTTTTCTTTATCAGTTGTAGCATGTGTTATCATATTTTATGTCATATGAGTTTTGGGGCTGAGATGGATGGCATATTGACTTAAATTTTTTCAAAATTGAACAATTGATCTTTTGATTGAACTATTGAAATGCAGAAATTTTTCCAGCTGATTTGTTGCTGTTGAATTATTAATTTCTTAATATAAGTATTTTCTTAGTTCATTAATGTTTTGATCTGTTTGTCTCGCATTGTTATGAATAGTCGTTTTAGATATATTTATGTATTTCAGTCGTAAGTTTCTATGACTTCAAGCTAGGTATATGATTTTTTGTTGGAACTATGGTATGAATGGCTTCAGTTTTGCATATCTATCTATTATTTCCTTGTTTGAGACATGATTATTAAAATGTAGAGTCACAGATGATAAATGTTTTTTTGAAATTATCCCAGTCAGGTGATGGGATATCATGAATTAGAGGGGGGGGGGGTTATGTGTCTAGGATTTTTGTTAAATCAGTTAAATGATATGGGGAGATTGTTACCTCCTAAGTGTTTGTTAACCCTAAAGTTAGATATGTGTGGTAAAATGTTGGATTTGACAATAGCTAAGTCTAGAATATCTTGTGATCTTGATCATTATTTATACATACTAAATTATTATTAAATGTAAAATTTCAAAGTATAGGACCATTTCTCTTGGAAGATTGCCATAAGAAATCAAGATGTTTGGAGTTCATACTTCTTGTGGAATAAATTTCCCTGAATGTTTATATGTAGTGAAGTAACTATACTGACTTACCCAAAAGTTGTCCTCGTCTGGTGTCGATCTATATATTGAGCCATGAATTAGGTAAAAGTCAGCAGCTGAGCATATCTTCTTGTACAGGTGTGGGAACTGTTGCCTGAACTGTTCCAAAGAAACAGATCACCAAGGTGTTGGCAACAAATTTTACTATGCATTTGATGAAACCTTCATCAACTCTACAAGATTGCCAGTCTGAAGACTCTTGTGTTTGTTGTTTACTAGTTTCAGCCTGAGTTGTTCATTGTTTTGCAGCCTTTGCATATGTACTTGGTCTAGTCTGTTTTGTTGGCTGGATTGATGCTGGTGGAGGAGTTGGAATCTTTGTAGGTATTGGTTGATGAGTTACCTTTTCTCTAAAATGATAGTTGTTAGTTTGCTTACCTGTTTGCGATGAATTAGTTTTGCTAGCTTTCTGAGTGTTGGACTCCTGTTGTCTTAGTTCCAGTACTTGTTGGAACTTTGGGCAGCAGTGGTAGGATGCTGCGTGCTGGCCTAGTCAGTTGCTATAACTCATCTCTAGTCATGGTTTCTCACTTTGGCTGCACGTTGAAGACATTCTGGAGAAGTCAGAGAGTGCCTGGTGGACTGTGTTGTACATGATAACTTTTTTCTCTTCATGTTGGCCTCAATTGTGTAAAAGACTTTAACAGAAATATAGTGTCTCCTGGAAAGGACTGATTAGCTCTAATAATAATATTCTTGAAAAGGATTGTGTAGTATGCATGTTTTGTATATGGAAAGTCCTGAAGAGGACTGATGATCAGATGTTTAGCACAATATTTCAAAAACACTCACACGATAGATCTGAAATACAACAGTACTTATAAGTACTATCTCACTGCTCAGCACTAGTCCTGAAAAGGACTGATTCAAAAAGAAACACCAAATTCATAAAACACTTATGCGATAGATCCAAAATACAACCTACCTGACTAACTTATTCTTAATCTAATACCTTCCTCTACCTAACGTATCTACCTACAAACTGTTCATGTATAAACACCCTCTATTTTATACCACAATATATATAATTTTTTCAATTCACTTATGAATCCTTTTTAAGTATAATACCTTAACTCAACAATTAACCTTTGGTGAAATACCTTAAGAAAAGTTTTCTGAAAATTAAGATAACATCCACAGAGATATTTTGTTCAGTAAAATACAAGTCTCATTAAGTGCCTCAGCAAGTTGGCAAGACAAGAAAAACACTACAAAAAAACATACTAAATGTAATTTATTAAATTCTGGTGTTCAGTATAATTTTCCAAGTGATTCCAACATCAACAGATGTGAAGTTTCACAATAAATGTAGGCACATTTATTTTCTTGTCACAGTTGTTTAAGAAACAAAGGTACAAATCTATTGTCTCAGCTGAGTAACAGAACAAACTTCGAAATGTTTAATGACACCAGTATATTAAACTTCTATTAAATTTCAGCATGTACACTTTAAATCTTAGACATGTTGGTATAACCTGTAATAATTGTATCATAGTAGTTAACTGATATTTGAAACCTCAAATGACAGCTACAAGGATACTCAAAGTTTAGAAGTTTATGTCATAGTAAGAATTATTATTGGTAATTGCCCCATTGCTATTGTTCATAAAAAAAACATAAGTGATTGTAAATTGTTGTTTCAGCTGTTCATCAGAGTGGAAAGAACAGTGGTGTTATTCATGCTGGTATTTACTATACTCCTGGATCTCTCAAAGCAAAACTTTGTGTGGAAGGTCTGGAGAAGTCCTACAAGTACTTAGATGAGCATAATATTCCTTACAAAAAGTGTGGCAAGGTTAGCATGTGTTTTCTAACTACAGTATGCAGACTCTCTGAAGGCTAACAAATTTGGTCAATGGTGTAGCCATTATATTAATCTGTCTTTCCTAAGTGTATTATAATTGTTCTTGTTGAATTTTACTCAGTTGTTATCATGTGTTATTATTATTATTGATGGTATTTTTATTCAAATTTATTTTATTTAAACTGTGTTGGTTATTTTGTCATGTATTATTCAGGTAATAAAAATACTTAGTATAATGTGTCTTTCGAAAAATGTCAAATGGGAGCTCGGTCAATCACATGTATACAGTTTTTATTTTTGTACTGTAGTAAAAAAAATACTATAGAATTACTGGTGTTATTTTATTTTAAGTATTGTTCAATTGATTGTCACAAAGCCAAATAAGGATAAAGGTATTTTGTGATTGAAAGTAGTATTCTAAAAAATTAGAGTATCCATTAAAATACATACACATAAATACTGTATTGTAAATGTACAAGCTTACACTTCACTTTTGTAAATTTTGTTTTGTGAAACCCATCTTAACTTTAATATATGTTTGCTGTTGAAAAAAAGCAGTGTATAACAATTAGAAATGGTTTTCCAAAATGAAGTTAGAATAAATAATAACCATATAACTTTAAAAAAAAACTTATTTTGTATTTACACAATTAAGTGATAATGAAAGGCTACTTAGGTTGACATGGTATTAATGGTAGTGTTAACTTTACATCATATCAAAATATTGTGAACTTGTAATTAACTTATATATATTAGTTGTTTTGATACTTTTGTTCTATAAACAGTACAAGCTGAGTAAAGTGTGGTTGTAAAGCTACATATTAGCCACACATTATAATATGTTCCATGATTTGCAACAGTTATTGGTTTGTGTCACATTAACAAATTTTAACTCATCTTTTGTATGCTGAAGATTACTTTCTGAATATTCTTGACATAATTCAGAGCATGCATCAACTTATTCAGGATTCTCCACTTTCCCACCTTCTACGTGATTTATTGTGCATATGTCAGAAGAATGCTTTCCTGCCATAGTCCAGATTGTTTGTTCAGAGTTATGGTTTTAATTTTGTTCACTTTAATTGTGAAAGCAACATTGATTATATTACAAATGCTATTAACTCATTACTTGGAAGCCTTACTCTATAAAACTTGTCATAGTTTGCAGGGAGATCCTGTGGCTGCATTGTTAATCATTATTTATCAACATATTCAGGCCTTTAATTTCATAATGCTTTGCTGGAGTCTCGGGTGGGTTTCATGATCATGTGGATGAATGATCAGTTGATGAACATTTGCCATTTTCTCACTAGGACAAACAGAACTGATCTCTTGACCATACCTATTTGCTGTGTTTGCAGAAACAGGTTTTGGCAGCTAGCTAGAATCGAGAGGCTATGAGGTATCCTGTTGAGAAAAATGTTTGTTTCTGAGATTCCTCATCTGGTTAATTCTCTTATGAGCCTGCACTCATTTCTTCCATGTATCCACCCCACTCCCTCTGGTTCTGGGTTCTAATCGAGCTTTGCTTGATGACATCTTTCATTTCTTGTTACCTTCTTATCTAAAGGCCCAGATTTTGGTGACCCACTGAATCCATTGGATGTCCTAGCTTTTTGTATTTTGTAGGTAGGTCTGCTTCTTTTGAATTTTACACTTACAAAATTAAAGTGAATGCAAAAATTACCTCTAAAATACATTACCACCCACCTCCTCACAATTAGGAGATGTGCAGTTTCCCATCTTGACTGCATCTACAAAATCTTGACTACTGTGTAAGAGCAGAGCTTATGTAAGCTGGCACAATAAGTCACATGAAAGATTGGAAAGGGGAGGATTGTGTAAATTAACACGTTTCTGCATGGTGACAGACATTCAGAACCTAAAGCCACATGACTGTTGACATCAACTTAAAAGAAAGGATTTTCATGTTTCAGAAGTAAGTATGTGTTTGAAATTCATTTTACTTCTAAAAATATAAAAATTCAAGGTTATAACTTGTTTGATAGTGATAGACATTTTAAAGGGGGGGAGTGGAATGGTTTGTTATATAAAGGATGAGCTTCGGCCTGTTGGAATTGAAGATATAAAACATATTAGTGAAGAGGTTGAATCTGCATGGATTCAGTCAGGGGGTCAAGGGTAGAAAGTTTTTAACTGGCAAGGCTATAGGTCACCTGATCAGCAGAAACCTAAATTTAAGACATTCTAATTGGGATTTTATAGAGTTAAATAGTGGTTCAGGATGATTTTCTATACCAAAGGGTCAGAGAACCAAATAGAAGGGAAGGCATTTTAGTTTTATGTTAACTACTGTGATGATGATGTAACTAGAGTTGAAGTGGAGAACATTTGGGGAAGAATGATCATTGCATAACTAGGTTTGAGATTTTGCTACATGTTGATATAAAGAAAATGAAATTTTAGTTCTTAATTTTCAGAAAGCCTATTTTGAGGCTATGACAAAAGATTGAACGCTAGTGAATTGAGATAATGTGTGGGACACATTTGGGAAATTTAAAAAAATATATTGCTTGTAATTCAAGACAGACCTGATCCTGAAAGAGAGAAAAAAGATTATAGGGAAGATCAAAAACCTCATTTGCTAACTATGAACATAAAAAAGAAACCTCAGCATTAAATATCACAAATTTAATAAGTTTAAACTGTTAGATAGGATGGAAAATTTACAAAACTTAGGAAAGTTAGGGATTTGTTTAAGGAACACAAAATCAAAAAAGGTTTTATGAGAAACAGTTGGCTCATAATGTTTAAACTAACAGCAAAATTTTTTAAAGCATATTAAAGGTAAGCAAAGTGTTAAATGGGAGATTGGGACCTTAAAGGATGCTGATGTGAAGGTTTTTGTTGAAGACCATGAGATGGCTGGGCCTTTAAATGTTTCTTTCATGTTTGTTTTTACAAGGGAGAATGTTAACAATATTTCAGACCCATAACATTCTGTAGAAAATACTTGCAATAAGTTGAATTATTATTCATCCCTTGGTGACAAATAAAATGACTGAGATATTAAAAATAGAGCAACAGGGGATTGTGGAAAAGTATGGACTTGGTGTAATTTTCAATAGACTGTTCATAAGGTACCACACAAAATAAAAACTCACATTGTTGAGGGTTTAGGAATTGCTAGTTAGTTATGCTGTATGGTTGCTGGGTGAGAAAAAGCAAAATGTTGTTGTTAATGATGTCCAGTCAAATTGGGCCTTTGTTACTGGAAATGTACCTCAGCAGATGGTGCTTGGGCCTGTGGTTTTTCTTATTTACATTTATGATATTGATGTTGAAGTACCACAGAATGACTTGGATTAATTGTTAAATAGATGGTAAATGGTTACTAATTATAGTAAATGTAGGGTAATGCACTTCAGTTATCATAATTTGGGTCACACATTTAAAGTAATTGGGAACCCATTCAGTGGTTTCACTGAAGAAAAGGATCTTGACATAGTGGAAGATAAGCCAATTAAACCATCAAGGCAGTGTTCTATTGCTGTAAGTAAAGATAATTATCTCTTTATACAAATCATTAGTTGGGCCATCATTTGGAATATTTTGTGCAGAGTATGTGCAAAGCAGTGCATTTGGTGCACTTTGACTTTCAGAAAGCTTTTGATAAGTTGCCACGTAATAGACTTCACTTCTTAGGAATACTCTGTGTTGAAGCAGGAGATAAGCTTGTTAAATTGACTGGGAGTTAGATGGGTGATGGATGACAGAAGGTTGTTACTAATAGAGTGAAGTCACTATGCTACTAATGTTTTTTCTCTGGGTTTTGTATTATTTCTCTTGTCATTAATGTGTTGTTAATGGTACAATTAGTGTATTTTTGAGGCTTGCACATGCATTAATTCAGTTGGTATATCAAATTGAATTTAAGATGCTGTAGTTTCACACACAGACAGTTGGAGTATTTGGTAAGCTAGCTAGTACCTGAAAGATGTCTTTTGTCATAATAAATGAAATCATATATATATATATATATATATATAGT